TCGTTTTTGAGTGCTTGCCTTGGATTCAAATGAGCTGTTTTGTGTTTAGAACAATATATACTAATTTTTAAAGTATCAAATTGAATTTTTGTTCAATAAAAATCTTTCAAATGCGACTGTAGCTTTTTTTTCCCCCAAAACTTTGTCTTCAAAATAAGGGTGCGTCTTATACACCAGAGCCTCTTATATTTCGAAAAATACGATATTCAATATTTCTAAACATTAAATACACAAATTAAGGCCATATTAGGGCAATCAAAACCAAACTTGTAACTTATACACAGTTTCTTTGAAAATGAATAGAGATTTTACAATCTATTTCAATCATACACTTCAGTATGAAAACTATGTGTAAAAGTAAGTAAACTTGCCAGGCAGGGATGCCAGTGTAACTCATTCAGTGACAGAAAACTAAGTCTCTCCATAACCAAGCTAGATGCAAGAAATTACAATATAAAAGTAAAATCTGCAAATTAATGGATTGTTAATTTAAAAAAATATTATAAAACTTTTCACCTAATTTGGAAACTTTTTTAATATTTTCTTAAAATCTGAAATTTCTTAATCTGCAGGCCTGCAAACTTTAGATTTGTACCAGTTGTATTAAAATTGTACAGTAGATAGAATAGGATGCTAGCTCAGCCAAGTGTTTCGTTACAAAAAGGAAAAATCATTCCCAAGTAAAGATTTGTGCACTTAGATTCATTATTTTATTTGTATTTATCTTTTTACTTTTTTTTATAGTTGGTATAGAATAACTTTAGGTATAGAATAACTGTCATGTAAAATATGTTTTACTGCCTTATTCTTTTGTACTGGTTCATTTATGTTTTCATCTACAAAAATTTTTTATCAGATCAGAGATAATTTTTGTTTTAGATATCGTTGTACAAAGTAACTACAGAAAAATAGAAATTAGCTAGAATAAAATTGTGGTGAATTTCTAATTATGCTTAAGATGAATTTTTCTGTTATCTTACCAGCTAGTGGCTCGTATGTTTGAAGTGATGGCAGGTTTCTTTGCTCACTCTTCTGATATTCACCTCTTTGTAAATGTGGTAAATGGAGCATTAGTGTTACACTGTGAAGATTGCACCATTCTCAGGCAGTGTTTGGCTACTTTTATAAATGCTGCTCAACAGTTCAAAAACATCTTTGCAAGCAATGGGTAAAAACTAATACATTAAAATTCTGTTTTCTTTTAACAGTTTAAGCTCAGCTAACAGACACTTGTAAAAATAAACAAAAAACAGTTAACTTAATTAAAATTCATATCAGATTTAATGGCTTATAACTTCTCTAGATCTCAGTTTCTCTGGATCATATATTCAACCTATGTTTTCTGTTAAGGTTTGTTTGCTTACAAAATGAGATTTTTTGTTTCATACTTGCTTTCAAATATTATGAGGCCAACAGAATATATCTGTAAGTGATGTTTTCTTAAAACCCAGTTAGCAGTTCCTCTGTTTGAGATTTTATTACAACCATGCAGGTTTTCTTTTTACTTGTTATAGATTAGGACTGAATTACTTTTAAAAGTGTGATTTGGTCTTATTTCTTTGTTTCAGAAATAGTTCAATACCTTCAATAGTACAAATGATAATAAGTTATTTTACAGTTTTTAATTCTCATCATAAACTGTTATAAAAACTTATGAAAAAAGAAATTAAATTTTATCAAAGATTTGCATAATGTAATTAACAACAGAATATTTTGATCTATTAAATGAAAGATATTGGTTCAAGTTACTAATATTTTTAACGTTTGTATGAACAACTTG